ATCCTTCTCCAGGTCGACATTTACAACATGATACACAATCGATAATTTATTTGCCAACTGACAAAGACTATACAAAAGTATATGATAATTTTATCGAATGTCTTAATATTTTTCCTGAAAAACCATTCGATAAAATTAGTTGTAAAAGTTTTGTTCGTATTTGAAAAGAGTTATTACCGTATATTAAATTTATGACATCTGGTACAGATTTATGTGAAACATGTGAAATGTTAAAGGCTGAAATTCGATGTGCAAATTATAGTGAAGAAAGAGAATTAATTCAAAAAAGATTAGACGATCATAAACAAAAAGCAGAAATAGAACGAGATTATTATCGTAATAACATTTTAACAAGTACAATCTTACCTAATACAGCGCATGTATGTTACGATTGGGCACAAAATGTTCCAGTGCCTTATTCTCCTCAACAAATCGGTGCGACATATTTTAAATCTGCATTTCAGACTCATATTTTTGGTATTTGTAATACTGGACAAAATCCAGCTCAACAATTAAATTATATAATTGCTGAGAATGAATTTCCCCAAGGAACAGGTAAAAGAGCTAATACAACAATTAGTCTTGTTTACAATGGGTTGCAACGATTTCATAATCACGAAAAACATTTAAAAATAACTTGTGATAATTGCTTAGCACAAAATAAAAATAATCTCTCATTATACTTTTGGTGTTGGCTTACGTTAGTTGGCATGTACGATATGATTGAGGTAAATTTTATGGTAACTGGATACACGAAATTTTTATGCGATGGATATTTTGGTAACATTAAAACACTTTTTCGAAAAACAGTTATCAACACTGTAGACGATGTTCAAAAAGTAATTAATAAGTCGACAAAAAATGATACCAATAAAGGAATACGTTATAATAATGGTGAAGAATGAACATATTACGATTTTTCTAAATTTTTAAAACTACATTTTAAAGAACTACCTGGGATTTTAAAGTATAATCATTTTTTATTTACTTCTAAAAATCCAGGAAAGGTATTATGTCAAACTAAAGCATACGGTACTTATAGTACATTTAATATTCTAAAAAATAGGTTCGATGTTAATGAGGTTCTTGATAAAATTTCTTTAAAATCTTTATCAAAAGAACGCCAAGAGTATCTTTACTATGAGATAAGAAAATATGTAGATATAAAATTTCAAGAAATAACTTGTCCAAAGCCATCGTGGCTTAAATAAGCTATTTATTTGGGAAAAATTTTTTTTATTAAATAAAATTCTGTTAGCGTTAAATATCAATATAGTATAATGATAACTTAATACATCGTTATGAATTAATTAAAAACAGCAATAAAATTATTCTTTACATATAGTATTATGAGAAAGTATCGTTCCCGCCTTTTTGTAGCTGAAAGTAAGCATTTGAAGAAAAATTTTTTTTATATATCGCAATTATTGATGATCTGTTTGTCACTTTTGATTGGATGATCTTGGATCGTCAATCTATTTTTAGAATATGAAAATTTCAAAGAATCGTTTTTTTCAAATCGAAAAATCTCGATAATTTATTATATCAACGTAGGGTAAGAATTGAAATATATGTAGATAGAAACCAGCACTTTAATTTGAATCAAACAACTCAAA